AGGAAAACACACACAGACAGTCCAGGGGTGTGACAGTTCGCCCCCCTCCCAGAAGGCGCGACCTCGCGCCGCAGGAACAACAAAGGGAGGGACGGAGGGGGACTTAGGAGGAGGACAAAGGAGTGGATGTGGGATGGTGACAGGGGATGGCAAAGGGCTGGCAGGAAGGCAGGCAGACAAATACTGGAGGAGGTTCGGGCGGAGGATGGACACCTGGGAGAAGGACGACAAACGGAGTTCAGGGTGGAGACGACGGAGGGAGCAGAAGGAGCCAGGTGGGACCCAGGCCGCAGCCATTAAGGCGACCCACTGTGGAGCCGATGGAGGGAGGAGCCATGGAGGAGGAAGGGCTGACGGCTCCAGGGGGCCGACCGACGGCGGCGGAGCAGGTGGTGGTGGAGCCCGAGGCGGAGACGGAGAGCCAAAGAGCCAGGGCAACGGGGAGGATCCGGAGGGCCAAGGCGGAGCAGATGGTGCTGGCGACTGACGCAGAGGCGTGGATCCGAAAGGCCACGGTGGAGTCGGAGCAACAGAGGACTGAGGAGGAGCCGAAGCGACCCTCAGCTATGGTGCAGTGGTTGGAGCTTCCCTCCGTGCTCTCACTGTCCATAGTGCTCTCCCCCGTGGAGAGCTCTGTAGTCGGCTCTCGCACCTGGTCTGACGTCACAGGCTCTGGCTCCGCGGCGATCCTCAGCTTGTCGGTCGCGGCGATGTGTGTATGTACGATGGCTTGTCGGTCGCGGCAGGCTCTGGCTCTCCATCAGCGGTGGGCTCAGGCTCTTGCTTCGCACAGCGGGGTGATGGTGGGCTGGGCTCTGGGTCTGGCTGTGTTCCGAATGGCGATTAGTCGGGAGGTGTAATAATCCATTTGGAAAACCAAAAACAGGAAAATAAACGGGGAAAACACGACATGTATACTTTTCCTTTTTTTCTAGGTCCGGTCTTCTGTCACGCTATGGTGAGATAAACGCACGAAGAAGAGGAAGATAAAAGCTAATAGTCTAATAAATCCACACAAGGGTAAATCCAGGACAGAACAGGCAGGAGACACACATAGGGATTCTGAGATTATATTTCACAATTCAGACTTTTTTCTTGCAATTCTGATTTTATATCTCACAAATTGGACTTTTTTCTCGCAATTCTAAGTTTATATCTTGCAATTTGGACTTTTTTCTCGCAGTTCTGAATTTATATCTTGCAATTCAAACTTTTTTTCTTGTAATTCTGAGTTTATATCTCACAATTTGAACTTTTTTCTCACAATCCTGAGTTTATATCTCACAATTCTGACTTTATATCTCGCAATTCTGAGTTTATTTCGCAATTCAACAGACTTTTTTTCTAGCAATTTTGAGAGTATATCTTAATTCAGACTTTTATTCTCATGATTCTGAGTTTATATCTCACAATTTGGCCTTTTTTTCTCCTAATTCAGATTTATATTCTTGCAATTCTGAGTTTATATCTCACAATTCTGACTTTATTTCTCACAATTTAGAGTTTATATCTTACAATTCAGATTTATATTCTTGCAATTCTGAGTTTATATCTCACAATTCTGACTTTATTTCTCACAATTTAGAGTTTATATCTTACAATTCAGATTTATATTCTTGCAATTCTGAGTTTATATTTCACAATATACACTTTTTTCCTCACAGTTCTGAGTTTATATCTCACAATTTTGACATTGTATCGGACAATTAAGAACCGTGAGAAAAAAACTCCCAGTTAACTAAGTGTTTTATCCTGTTTCGGAAACAAGCATAATATTCAGTGTCCTTTGGTGTTTTGAAACAGCATTCTCATTCTTGTCAGGAGCTCAGAGCAGTAGAGGAGAGCTGTGCCTCGCTGCAGAAGCTCACTGTCTAATGTGCAGTGCTGTATGTGCCTCTTAGGTTTCAGTGTTCGTGCGCTGAATCGGGTGTTGAAGGAGGAAATAATCAACAAGCCTCTGCTAACGCTGAAGTTGGCCATTCCCTCAGGTATCTACACCCTGCAGAACAACCTGCTCTATGTGGCAGCATCATTACTCCAGTCTTCAGTGTCACATGATCCTTCAAAAAACCATTCTCAATGGAAAACAACAAACACATTTTTCTCTTAAAAAAAAAAGTAATGTGTTTCTTTATAGGCATACCTTATTTACCTTCTCATTGGTTTTCCAGGTTACGTATCAGCTGAAAATTCTCACTACAGCCCTGTTCTCCGTGTCCATGTTGGGCAAAAGACTCGGCATTTACCAGTGGCTCTCACTAGTCATTCTGATGACTGGAATTGCACTTGTCCAGGTAAGGATAGTGGCCTTTATTTGTTTATCAGGTCAAATTTTATTTGAAGCCTGCAGTTATGGAACAAGCAGTCTGTTTTTGTGACTTAAAATTTACTCTGACTGAGAGTTTGTTGTTAGCATGTTGCTAACCTAAACATGCTATATTGTAAAAAGCATAAAAATACATAAAAGACACAAATATTGGTTAACGTAGTTAATTCTTATTTAGACTGAATATTTTTTCCTGAAACTGTACGGTTTTGTCCATCATCTTTCATTTTTATTTCCTCTGAACTTGCTGCAGCGCATTGTGCGATTGCCTTCTCAATGAAAACATGAGGCTGACTTAGAATCTGTCCAAAACAAGGTACAAATATGATCATCCTCATGCAACGGACCCCCATCCTAAAATTTAAGAGGCAGCTATATGGTTTCTTGTATAAAAAATATATTATATTATATTATATTATAACATCTTTATTTGTAATTATTTATAGGTAAATAAGTATTTATAGATGTCTAATTCTTTATTTTAATCTTTAATCATTTTTAAAAATGTAATCAGTTTTCTCAAATCAGTTTTAATATAATGTAATCTAAAACATTCTTTGTAAAATATGTAGTTTTTTCAAGTTATATAACTTACTAAATAATTATATATATATATTAGTGCTGTCAAACGATTAATCGTGATTAATCGCATACAAAATAAAGATTTTTGTTTGCATAATATATGTATGTGTGCTGTGTATATTTATTATGTTAAAAAAATCTTTTTCTATTATGTATTATTTCTTTTTAGCACAGTTTTTCTCTAAACATTTCCACGGACCTTCTAGCACTCTCTTGGGGGGTTTGAAAACTCGTCTATGCTGTAAATATGACTCCTCCTATGTTTAACCTGAACCAACAGTGGCCAGCTGAAGTTGCATCAAGCACCAAGCAGGAGGATCTGACTGCCGGCTCTCAGTTGATGGGTCTGCTGGCTGTGCTTGTGGCCTGCTTCTCCAGCGGATTTGCTGGCGTGTATTTTGAAAAGATCCTCAAAGAGAGCAAGCAGAGTGTCTGGATCCGTAATATTCAGCTAGGTCAGCAGATTTTTATTAAAAATGTGAACCTAGAAAAGGCCCGGCAACCTATTTTCATTTTTGTCCTGAAAAGAAACAAAAACACATTTAGTTTTAGGTAGCCATTGTTTACAAGTTTCTGCTTCAGGTTTCAGGAAATGTGTTTGCTTTTGTGAAACAGGTTTGCTTTTTCTCCACACGTGTTCCATCGTTCGTTTCAGGTTTATTTGGACTGATTTTTGGACTTGGGGGAGTGTTTGCGTACGACGGAGAAAGAGTGCAGGAGAATGGACTCTTTCAAGGGTACAATCATGTGACGTGGACTGTGGTGGCTCTTCAGGTACATTTTCACTTCTTTTTCAGAATAGCACATGCACAGACCTGCATGTCACATTGTTATTTGTGTTAAACCTGCTTCACATACTTCCTGTAGGCTTTGGGTGGGTTAGTCATTGCAGCTGTCATCAAATATGCAGATAACATCCTGAAGGGCTTTGCCACATCCATCTCAATCATTCTGTCCACCCTCATCTCTTATTTCTTGTTGGAAGATTTTGACCCTACTAGGTAAGACAGTCGCATTTGTATTTGGGTCTTTCTTGGGGAAACGGTGCCATGTGTGTCCCTTACTACTGGTAAAATTCACAAGATACTGAATACTCCTGTGAATGATCAAACTGTATACACAGTACAAGTGTATTTAGTGTGTACGTGGCTAAAGATCATCCCTCCCTAAACTCACGCAAATTGTTGCTGTGTTGAACTGGCCGGGATGAGCCAACAAACAGAGCAATCTTTTGATTTGTTTGAAGTGTCTCTTTGCACTCTGAGGCAATTAATTCACACTAATTCATTGCAGATGTATGTTTGTGTAGATCCACACGCAAGTGTTTGGTTTGTACTGTTTTACAACACCTTTGTTTGTTAAATGCGTCTCCTGACTAGAGTTACATTTTTGGTCATTTACATTTGTGTCATTTTACATGTTTAAATTATGCCAGAGCACATTATCATTTTCTTTGAAGAAGCCATCAAACAGTCCATTTATACCAGGTGTGTCAAAGACGTGGCGTGGATCTGCCGAAAAACAAATCAAAGATTTGTGTGCATTCATTATGTTGGTTTGATATATTCATAATTTTCCATTTTTAGCTACAGCAGAGCAGATACATTTTAATTTATTGTGTTGTATGCTGTAGCTTGCGGCGGTAGGACATTTCTTTTAATTACACACACAATATTTGCGCTTCTTGCCTGAAACTGGATCTATGGGTAACACAGCTGTCCCCTTTAAGGGAACGTGTTATCATCAATAGAAAAGTGAATTTCACACTAAACTATTACATTTGCACAACACTAAATAAAGCCTTAAAGGCTTAGTTCACCCAAAAATGAAAACTCTGTCATTAATTACTCACCCTCATGTCGTTCTAAACCCGTAAGACCTCCGTTCATCTTCGGAACACAAATTAAGATATTTTTGATGAGTTCTGAGAGCTCTCTGATCCTCCCATAGACAGCAAGGTAACTACCACGATCAAGGTCCAGAAACGTAGCAAGCACATCGTTAAAATAATCCATGTGACATCAGGGGTTCAATCGTAATTTTACGAAGCTACGAGAATACTTTTTGTACGCAAAGAAAACAAAAATAACGACTTTATTCAACAATTCACTGAACGTGAACAGCGTATGCTATTCTATGTATTCTACGTTGTTTACGCTTTGATTTGAACGAAAACAACGTATCCGCGTTAGCTACGTTTCTGGACCCTGATCGTGGTAATTACATTGCTGTCTATGGGAGGGTCAGAGAGCTCTCGGAATTCATCAGAAATATCTTAATTTGTGTTCCGAAGATGAACGAAGGTCTTACAGGTTTAGAACGACATGAGGGTGAGTAATTAATCTCAGAATTTTCATTTTTGGGTGAACTAACCCTTTAAGTTTTTTGTGATGCTACTATCATTCCACTAATCTGCATTTCGTATTTTTAACACCTTAAGAGAGATTCACACAGAACTTTTTTTTTTTTTTTTTAAGATTTATTTTTGCCATTTTTCCCCTTTATTATGATTGGACAGATCAGAGCTGACATGAAGTAAAGTGGGAGAGAGATAGGGGGGCGGGATTGGTAAAGGTCCTCGAGTCAGGATTCGAACTCGGGACGCCCGTAGCACATCGGCACTGAATGTCGGCACGTTGCCCACAAAGTTATCAACACCGACACAGAACATATTTTTATATTCCACTGTGCTGCTTTTCCATTGTATTTTTTTATGTAAACATGCGCTAGGTGAACATGTTTGAACGTTGAGTTTGCATCTTGCGTATTTTGCACCATAATACATATACATATATGCACATATAAAGCAATATAAAAAGGAGGCACCCGGGTTAAAAAGTTAAACTTTAAACAAACACGTATTTGGACCTTCCAAAGACGAAGTATCTCACATTTTCAAACACCCCGAGGGGCCGTTCTCACAGAATGCGTTTTTGTGCTCTGATATGCTACTTTTCCATTGCTTGTATGTAAAGATGCACATAAAACATGTTTTTGTGTTTAAAAATGTTTGGGGGTGGAATAAAACAACTCAAGGTTTTCCCAACTCTCAAGAAAAGAACAAGAACAAAAGCCAAACATGTGATGACGGTGACTCTCATCCTTTTTAAAATATGCAACTCTACTATTGAAACAATTTGAAAAAAACACATTGGTGGACACACAGCAAAATGGACACAGTGAAAAGAAAAATTGCAACAGATGTGTTATTTAAAAATGTAACTACTATTAATTTGAGTGTCAGTTTTTAAAGCAGTTTGTCAGCGCAAATGAAAGAGACGATGCGTAAAACACATCCGTCCAGCACAGGTTTATGTTTATGTTTATGCGCTATGGAATGCAAAAACTCTGCTGGTCATTTATGCGTCTTTCAGTTTTAAACACAACAAACATGTTCTGTGTGAATGGCCCTCAACACACAGAAAGCATTGTCACTTGTTGGTGAATTGACTGTGTGTTCCCTGAGCCTTTATTAGTGTTTCCACATATTTAAGTTCACATTTATGAATTTATTTGTAACAAAAGTATCTGCTATTATTCAGTGATCTATTCAAGTTCTAGGTTATAAATTCCAAACTTACTGTGACAGGGTTGAAATAATGTTGCTCTAATCTGAATATTGTTGGGAATGTCTCCCCTGCGGTGATCACCCAACGTCTATGACAGCAATGTCCCTGGAAATTTCAGCCTGAGATGCGAAAATATGATTTCTTGGCAGTTCAGCAGTAACCTTTTCAAATGAAATTATTAAAAAAGTCCTGAAATTTGTATGGCGTAAATGGCACCGTTTCTTGGGAATGACCCACTTATTTCACTTTGTAGAACTTGAGGAAAATTAAGCTTTTTTTTTCTTTTGTAGTGTGTTTTTCCTGGGTGCGATGCTGGTTATCGCTGCTACGTTTCTCTACGGGTATGAGAGCACACCTGCGGTCAACCCTAGTAAAGTATAGAAGACTGGACATGAGATGATAAACAATCATCAGGAGATGCTCTACTTCAGGTGAAGTTCAGGACAAGAGAACCGGTGATATTGTAAGGATGCTATTAGAAGGTAGCACACAAAAAAAAATATATTATATGACATCAACACACCAGGAATCAAACTCCTGCTTCTGACGTATTAGGTGGCAGGACTGTTTGTTACACTCAGCTGAGGACTTTAAGGACTTCCATTTGAAATGTGTTTACATATAATAGGAATCTCTGAGACAGAGCCTCACAAATTCAACATGTTACGGTTTCATATTTATTTTCTGTGCCATACAGTGGCGTATTGAGAAAGCGATCGTTTTACTTGAATGTATCCTTTGAGAAACATCATTTTCTCAAAGCCAATAAAAAGTGTTTCAATTCTGGTAATAAAAACAAGTTGAATCTCAAACGTTGAGCCATTAGGAGTAATGACTGCATTTTGACTGCTCTAATAATCTGGTATTGTGGGAAAAATGTTGAGAGATCAGACTCCTGCGAGATGCTCAGTGCACTTTTATTAGTCCTTGAATGAACAGAGTGAACTGTCAGACCTTGTTGCTCTCAGCTGGGGGTTTCAGTGGAAATATATATGTTGCATCACAGTTTGTTTTATGCAAAAACGACTTGCATGCAAGAAGGGAGATGAAAAATCAGTTCCCCCTCTAACTGGGTCTTCCTCGCCCATAATGCAATTCTATGAAACTTTTCCACAGTAAACTCCGTCTCTTCCATTGCATAGACTCGTTTTGCAGTGGGAAAGCATGTGGATATTGAAAGAAAGTGGGTTTTAACCATTTAAGCATCATTTTTATTCCTCATTTCGGCACATCCTGTTCTACGAAATTTTGAAATCATTAATCTGCCGCTGGTGTTCATGCATTTTCAGATAATGAGTTCATATGTTTGAATGTGTCTTTTATTTAGATGATCATCTTGAGGAGGAATATGGCTTTGACAGAGATACAGAAGATGTAACTGAGAAATGATAGAGGGAGATGATGTGAGGTATTTATCATATTACAGAGAAGGAACCCCTTATGATGTATTCTATCTTTGTCTAGATCAGTGCTCCAAGCTTTAGACGTACTGCATGCATCTCAACTTCCAATGAAACTTTCCTTTGAAAGTGATTTTAGGCAAAGCATCAGGCATGAATAAATGCTCTGTTAGATTTAAGAGTTAGTCATTATTATTATTATTTTCTGTTATATGTCCAGACTGGATATCAACCTCTTCATTTCCAACCAGTCCAATTCGGTGCATAATAAAACAATACAATTCACTAAATTAAAAGCATGCAAATAATGAATAAAACTCTCAAGTAATTTATAAGTAGGAAATTTAGCAGTGTCTCATGAAAGCATTAGCCACACACTTTATACTGTATGCATGTTAGTTTGTTGGTCCCTCCACAGAACAGTTTACTCCGGAGAAAGATGACAGAACCCATAGTTTAAAATTTATTTTGGATTTTTTTTAATATATATTTGTTTTTCACATTGATTTCCTAGAGCCTACTTTGTAAAAAAAAACAAAAAACATATTCTAGCTTTATATAAATCTTTATTTAAATATTAATTTGCATTGCATGCCAAGACTGCAAGTTATTTATTTTGTTTTAATATTTATTTCTTTTTGTTATTGTTGCTTTATTTTTCGTATTTAAACAGCCCTGTATGAATTTTTGTGACACTTTATTAGCAAAAGCATTATTTTGAAAGCAAGTCCAAAATCTATTTGATTTTACATAGATAAAAGTTTTGTCCAGTTTTCATAAAAAGTTAGTAATTGTGTCATCCTAAATCAAGGATGTTTTGTTTGTTGTTTTGAACCCTGCTCAAATTCACTGCATGGACAAAACAGTTCTCAAAATATCTTTGTGTCCAACAAAAAAAATCATGCAGGTTTGTAACGACACAAAGGTGGGTAAATAAGGACAGAATTGTCATTTTCGGGTTTACTTTTTATCCCTTCAAAAGCTAAACCTGACATTTGTAATGGAAACTCAATTTCGTCTGTGTCATAATTACCTAAGGAGTCTCCGTGGAAGAGGACGGAGTGAGACAGATAGAGAATAGAGAGAGGGAGACAGGGACGTGGAATGGCACAGATGGAGTGTGTATGTCATGTGACTAATCTGGTGAATGCTATGGTGCAGCACCCACTGCGTAAACTCTAACGGACTCATGTGCGAGCATAAACAAACTCCTATCGACTGATTGGATGAACGACCCCGCTGCATCCTCGACATTACTAAATACTCTCCACCTCAACAGGCGGCTGTCATCATGCACTCTGCGGTCTTTTTCGTCTTACGGCATGTAAAAGATATTTGTTTGCATTTTAAATTAAGTCACAAGTCTCAATCAACTGATAGAAGTTTCAAAGAGTTTTGCTGGTTGTCCTATAAAGCAAAAGTGTACATTTCCGGCTGGACCTGCGGTGACCTCCCTTGGTTCTTTTAATGCCACTGGATTCACTTTGTGTTGTATAGAACCAAACATTCAATCTTTTTCATGCATTATATAGCATCCGTCCTGAAAGTTTAGGGCCTTGTTGCAAAAAAAAAAAATAATGTAACGTAAGACTCTTTTTTTGTAAATTGTAAAGATATTACCACTAAGGGTTTTCCAAAAGGGATAGTTCACTGAAAAATGAACATTCTGTCATCATTTTCTCACCCTCATGTCGTTCTAAATCTGTTTGACTATCTTTCTTCTATGGAACACAAATGAAGATATTTTGAAGAATGTATTCAGCTGTATTTTGTCCATATTAAGACATGACTTGCAGGAACCAGTCATGACTTTCGTTGACATTCGCCATATTTTATGTAGTCTGTATATGCATGTGTTGATCAATGATTCAAAGTCTTACATTTTCATTCAAAGCGATCATGTTGCTCCGGAGGACTTGAAATATTCCAGTCGAGTTGCACTGATTAATGTTATATGCTACATTTAAGTCATATATTTCGATGTAAATTTTTGGACCCCATTGGCTTTCATTGTATGGACAAAAACAGCTGAAACATTCTACAAAATATGTGACCCTGGAGCACAAAACCAGTCATAAGTCGCTGGGGTATAGTTGTAGCAATAGCCAACAATACATTGTATGGGTCAAAATGATCGATTTTTCTTTTATGCCAAAAATCATTAGGATATTAAGTAAAGATCATGTTCCATGAAGGTATTTTGTAAATTTCCTACCGTAAATATATCAAAACTTAATTTTTGATTAGTAATATGCATTGCTAAGAACTTCATTTGGACAAATTTAAAGGCGATTTTTTTTGCACCCTCAGATTCCAGATTTTTAAATAGTTTCATCTCAGCCAAATATTGTCCTATCATAACAAACCATACATCAATGGAAAGTCTATTTATTCAGCTTTCAGATGATGTATCAATCTCAATTTCAAAAAATTGAGCCTTATGACTGGTTTAGTGGTCCAGGGCCGCAGATCTTCTTTTGTGTTCTGCAGAAGAAAGAAAATAAAAAACACGAGGGTTAGTATATTTTCATTTTTTTCTGTGAACTATTCCTTAAACCTAGTGGGTTCATGTAGTACTAGTTACTCCTGATCATTTGCTGTCTGACCAGGTAAAGGTAGTAAAACCTCATGGTGCACGCAGAGAATTCCCTTCTCGACTGACTAGTTCAGAGCAACTGAGAAACCCAACAAAACTGGGAATCCACAAGGCCAAACAGTGCATGCAGTCTTCAATGTCCCATAGGCACTGTTAAGACACCCCTATTTGGGTGGTATCACTACCAGAGGTTGTCCTCTCCTGGGCCTCCACATCAGCACCTGGGCATCGTTGGCATTGGGCCTGCCCAGAGCGTTGGGCGGGATGGGCTCGTTGTTGCTGAGAATGTGCGGCTGTTCCTGGTGCGGCCGTCCCATCAGTTTGGCTCGAGAACCAAGCGGCATGGAAGGATCCACCTCAATGTCTACGCGCATACGCCAGCGCACCGTCTGAAGAACGATACGCTCTTTGGTGTCTGCGTTTAGTGCCACCAGCCAGGTGATGAAGCTCTGGTCTCTGGTGATGTGCGTGAGCATGGGCGTGTTGCTGTTGCTGATGGGCACCGCCCAAGTCACGCTGGGGTAGAAGTTGTCGTTCATACTCACCGTTAGCCGGGACGGCTTGGACGTGGGGCCAGAGAGGGTCACTGTTTCGGTGGTGTTACCGTACCAGGGATAACTGACGCCGTCAGAATCGCTTATGGCCTTCACACGTCCTTCTCGAAGCTCGGGTAATTCCCAGCTGGACCTGCGGAAGGGATAGAAGGTGAGCGGTCAGGAAGGACAAAAGAGGCATGAGTCCAGAGAGCGGCAGAGCCTTAATGCATCAAACGGGCGAACGAGGCGAGTGAATAGAAATGGCGAAGGTGAGTGAGCACGGACCTGCTCAGTACAGTGTTTCATACAAATATGGAAAAACAGTCTATTAAAAGACACGGGGCTGTGAATGAAATGTTCATAATTGTGTTGTTTTTTTTTCTCAGTTAGCCTTCCCACTCATTTTAATGATCTCTTCCTAAGCTGTCTCTGTCCGCTTCTCTCCTACTCTGATGGTCTCCTTGACGATCCTGTATTTTAGGGTTAAGTTTAAAGCTTGATTTGGGGCTTGAACAACAAAATTTCCCTCAATTTTAGAGGGTAATGTTAGGAACAGCTTGGCAAAATCATGGTCGATAGATTAGGGTCGGGCAAAATTCTGAATTGAAGAATTGGCTGCCTTTCAATTCATGAGTGCAAGTTTCAAATGAATGGGGCACAACTCACAGGCAGTAGAAGTAGAAATGGAATTCAACATAGGAAGTACATTCTGGGTACTGAATTCTCTCTCCACAAGACCTATAAATCTTTAAAGGGGTCATATGATGCTGCTAAAAAGAACATTATTTGGTGTATTTGGTGTAACGCAATGTGTTTATGCGTTTTAAGGTTCAAAAAACACATTATTTTCCATATAATGTACATTATTGTTTCTCCTCTATGCCCCGCCTTTCTGAAACGCGTCGATTTTTACCTTAAAGATTCCTAATGCATCTACTTCTGGAAGGCACACAGCGTCTCCCTGACATGGCTGCATCAACACTACTGCTGTTCCTGAAACCACGCCTTCTTTCTTTGCGTGCACATTTGGGTGGCAT